TGGTTTGTAAAGCATGTACCTCACCCTCCACTCAGTGTACGCCTTGTATACTCACGACAAACTAAGTGAACTTTCGAGACAACAACGTCAATCAAATTGTTTCACATCAAAGTGGAATGTGTTGCTCTTTACGCAGCTTTTATGCAGAGTGGAGAAAAACAAGTTCAGGCTGTTTTCGCTCTCGCAGGCATTATTTTTAAAGATTCTTATTTTCTTGTTTTCATCTCTTTTGACTACCCTGGGGTTTGCCAGCCAAAAGACTGTTGTTTTTTTCTTGTACTTGCTCTTTAAAATCAGTGTTTTTTATTTGTATTGATCTGACTCGTATTTATGTGTACCAGTAAAATTACACTTTACAGATATTTCCTTTTACAGAAACTGCAAATAAAATCACATGAAGAGACTCAGTGACTGACCAACTGGAAGAAATGTAGTTTACTAAATATATTTTTTTCATCAGTGTATTGTATAGATACTGTACAAATACATGTAAACAGCGGTGTCAGGGTATGACACCACTTCCTAATGTGGTGTCTGAATCAGCTTTTCTACTAATTTATGTTTCACTAAATGTGTTTGTGTGTTTTTGTCAGTGTTTGTTAAATGTTATAAGCGCATGTCTTTGTTTTCCTATTTATTTATATTGTTATCTTTTATCCATGTTTGGATGGTTTTGTATCCAAGTCCAAGCAAGAAGCAAGAGTTATGTGCTAGCTAATTTACTGATAACTTTAAATTCCAATAAATCACATAAATCCTCTTTTTCATGAGTGCCTGAACATGATTCACATTATTGTAACACCTGAGAGAATACATACACTGATCACGGATTTATTGTATTTTACTCTGAGCACTCAAAGTACTTGTTACCAACACACCTCATTTACCTAATCACACACATATTCATGCAAGTCGGAGTTTTTTGTATGTTTGCTTTTCTACACTTCAGCAGCTTGTCTAACATTTAGACACACACTCATACTCTGATGGATGCATTGGCTACAGAGCCTGGGCACCTTGAAGTCACTGAGTTGACCATGAATTCCTCTGTATCCCACCATTTTCTAGAGTCAAATGTAAGCCCTTGGTGGAAACAGGTCATACAGCAGGACAATAATGCCAAAACGCAAGCAAAGACTTTCAGTCCAGACCTCAAAGTGACTGAAATGGTGTGATGGGATGTTAAGAGAGTTGTATATAAACAAATTCCTGACATAAGTAGTCATTTTAAATACTGGTCACTGTTTTTTATATTGCCATATGACAACTGGGATAGCCTCCAGAATCCCGGCAATGCAGTGGAAGCGGATCGATGGATGGAAAACCGTGCATACACTGCTTCTCATTTCACTAAATTTGTTTTTGTTGTTGTTGTTTTTTTACAAATTCTGACAGATTTTCTTTTTGGAAGAACAATCTGCTGTTAGCACCCAGTAAATTAGCAAAAAACGAAAAAGCACTAATAACATTTACTGAATAAAGTCTGACCTGCAAATATCAGTCTAATTTTTTGAACCTTTATTTAATGAGAGAGTGAAGTTCCTGAGATTGTGAGAATGTCCTTGGTGAAGTCAGGCAACATTAACCAAGCATGTCGTTTGTTTGTAAAGGAATAATTCACGCAAGGATTTTTGGACACTTTCAGCACATTTTATATGTGAAACATGCAGAAGAAGCTTCTCTGCTATGAGACAGTGCTAACCACTGAGCTACTGTGTTTTATTCTTAAGCTAACAGCTATGCATCATCAGATAGCTGCTAACACTGTCTGGTCTTTTTTCTGTACTGAAAAAGGAAAGTGCAAGATCTGAACAGGCTCCTGCTGCAGCATCACTCCAGTGGAAGGAGAGCAGAGATTTCAGACATCCTGTGATTTTGAGGTACTGGTGATATAAAAATCATGACAAGTGAAGCTTTAAATAATTACATGTCTTTAACTTCTCATATGATAACAAATGTCAAATATTTATCACCATATGCTAACTAATAATTGAAGAAATTCTGACCTGCTCCATCTCGCCGACGTTATCTGGCAGTACGTTATTCCAGAGGCAACTGCACTGCAGTGCATTCATGCAGACTTAAAAATGTAATCTTAGGAACATATTTTGATGTGTCTCCACATGTGCAGTACCATGTTTTCTCTGTAGCTCCACCTTTTTAGGCTTTTTAGGCAGCTCAGAATCAATGATCTAAAGTACTAATTTGTACATATCTTCATCTGCATGCACCCTGATGTGCAACCTTTGCATCGCATGTGCAAGAATTAATTTTCTATTTACTTCAAAGTCATTTCATTTTAAATTTCCTTGTAAAAATTGTCACTTTTCCAGATCTTTTACTTTGGCACTGCTGATTGGTCTTTGCAGTCTGCCTCCATTGCAGTGCTTCATGTAGGTGCGCCTGTGATTTGAAGATGACTGGTGCCCTCTAGCAGCTGGATTTATATATACAGAGATGCATGAAATAGGGGGGATTTTCTCTACATGTCCTCTGTGTCAGTCTTACTCTTACTCACTGTCAGTATACACTCATAAACATACAGCCCTGCCTACTAAGCAGGTTAGACTGTAACTGCAATCACCTGCAAGCTGTTAGGAAAACAACATGATCAGCCCCTTTTCACTCCTATGCTCGTGTAATTTTCTCTAGCAGATGCTTTGCATATGGCAAAGGAATCATTTTGAGCCATGAAGGACTTCACTGAAGGAAATCCATGTAATGTGCTGTGCCTCTCAGTTAATCAGGGAGCTTAATAATTCATGAAATCATTCATAGTGTGACTAGGTTGCAGTTTCAATGAGCCCAACCCAAAGAACAGCAGAGGGGTCTGGGGTCTACTGAGGAGGAGAATATTTATACCTTCAAGTATTGCGTGAAGTATTGGGGCAAAATGACTGCGCACAGTTTATCCAGAAAAGAGATGAAATACAACCAAAGAAGTAAAGAGGATTTTATGTTATTGTTGTTTCATGTGGCATTTCAGACCTCACTCATAGCGTTTTCCTTGATTTGCACTCAGTAGCTTCAGTAATAGGAAATGCCTGCACAGCAAAGTAAAACTGACTTCTTCGTTTTAATATTTAAAGTGAGGTTTGGTCCCTGCATTATGCAGCCTGTACTATCCTTAATGTGATGTTAAAAGGACACAAATGTGGTGTACTCCAAAATGTTATAATACTCCACCCATTCAGTGGAAAAGATTGGGGGAAAAGCACAAAATACTCACTTTTCTTTCATTACTACCTCTGAGGTGCCCTTTAGCAAAGCCTTTAATGTCACCCAGACATCACACCCCACCCCAGCGGCTTCAGTGGAGCTGCTCAATGACCAGTAGGGTCAAACTGGGGTTGAGTTCACATTTTCCTTTACTTTTTATTTCTATGTTTTATCTTTCTATTTCATTTTAAGTTATTTGTCAGTAGGGCTGTGCGATATGACCAAAATCTCATATCCCGATATAAGAATTCTATCGTCTGATAACGATATAAATCACAAAAATGTAACATTTTCTGTAAATTCTGTGAATCTTGGGCAGCTCGTCTTGCGTGAAGTGTTTCCAGCTGCGCGTCCTGTACCTGGAGTCGAGTGTTTTAACTGATGCATGAAACTATACATTTTTAGACATAAGTTGTAAAGGGCGCTGTTTTCTTTGTGAGTATTTATTACACGGCGTGCTGCGGGGAAAAGCCTGTTCTAACGTTTGAGTCTAAGGTTTATTTTTTAGCACCTGGCGGCTCTTTTTAATTCTCATCCGTAAATAATCTGCTCTTTCACGTGATTTAGTTTATTTTGAAAAGTCACAACAGAATCTTGAGCTTTATTGTGAAAGGTTTATGTGGAACACAAACAAGCGGACACCCGATGGTGTTACCGTAGTTTTTGCTAATGACAACGCATAAAAACAGGCTCATATCCCTCTGTAGTGTGGTTATATTAAATATAAGAGAAAGAGAGAACTTTAAGAAATTAATATAGCCACTACAGTGACCATCAAAACGATGAAAAAATATTGTTGTAAACGATTTATTTTGTGACACCATGAAACAAACAATAGCTTAAAATGAAATCATCTGATATATATCCTTATATCGAACAGTCCTATTTGTCAGCATTTATTAAAGGTTTGGTTTTGATCAGACTTCTCAGCGATCACTTTGAACTACACTATATGAAAAGTGTAGATTTGTTAACATTAAGTCACTAACTTTTGATATTGAGCTCATTATGATAAGATTTTTCAAAGCTAATACAGCATAATGCATTTAACTTTAACTAACACATGTTTCTTCCTAAAAAAAAAACCCAAAAAAAGCATTATTTTGTGTATAATTCACACAGAAACATTCTCAAATCAAACTTGAGATATGTTGCACTCTACAAATATGTTGCTGTACACAAGAAAGCATATTTTATTTAAAACATGATTTTTGTCTCCTAGGGCAGCGGTCCCCAACCTTTTTTGCGCCACGAACCGGTTTATGCCCGACCACCGGCCTTTAAGGTGTCGAGGATAAATACAAGATTAAACCGATACCGAAAAAAAGAAGATTTATTCATAACACACGTGAAAAGACCCAGGAAAACCAAGTTAACGATAAAAACGATAACAAAATAACGCTGAAAACCGATAAAAAACCCTGAAAACCATACATTTCACACCTGAGCCTCAACTCTCGTGGCCCGGTAACGACTCACGGACCGGTACTGGTCCGAGGCCTGGGGGTTGGTGACCGCTGTCCTAGGGCATATAATTCAATAAAAATCAGTGGATATGACATATTTCAGAGCTTTAATGCTTAGATAACTATTTTTTATATTAATAAGACGTTTCAAATCAGATGACGGTGGTGACACAATTAAATTGTGCAGATAACACACCAGACTAAACGTGCACAACATAAATAATGAAACACACAGATACAAAAAATATGTTTTATAAATCTAGGCAGCAGCGTGTTCAGGTTAAATCCACCTGACAATCAGTCAGTGACGTGGAATCAGGGCGGGGTTTGCGCAGTTGATCACCGCACAGGTGTAAGAGTGTGGAAATGTGCGTGCTGAAGAACAAGTTGTTTGAGCTACTCTGCGCCGTTACTTGGGCTCGGTTCTTGACTCTGCTCTGGGATGGATCGCCGCTTCGTGGGGAACTGCCCGCCGTTATTCTTCCTCGCCCTCATTTTTGACGTTATTGGTCTGATCGTACTGTTGGTCGGGATTTTCGGAAACCTTAAGCTGGACGGCCGCTTCTATGGAGATTTCCTCATCTACACGGGCTCACTCATCATTTTTCTCAGCTTAGTGTGGTGGGTACTGTGGTACACGGGAAACGTACAGCTTTACTCGGCTGACAGGACAAACTCCATCAACTTAAGGTACTGGGCCAGGAAACTGTCCGAGAGGCTGTCCGTGAGCGGCAAGAAGCCCATGGAAGCAGATGACTTCAAGAAGAAAAGCATGGGGAACGGGAAAGAGATGAGCGGCACTGTGCGTGCGTCTGCGCCGCCTCGGGTTATGTGGGAAGGTGGCAACTTAGTCTTGTCCGGCCATGACAACAAAGGCTTTGATGGAGGGACTGAGTGCGCATCCCTAGCATACAAAAACATGGAGCTGGGGGTGCTGAGGAGCTCAGATGTGGGTCTGCAGGCACAGGATTGCAAACCAGAGAGGCTGCTCTGACAGATCATGGTGCGTATTTCACCCAACAGCAAACCAGAGGCCTTATTCGCGTCCTTTCTGTCTTGAGTCTATTATTGGAACTTGTTCAGTGTTGCGGAGACTTTGAAAACTCATTCGCTCCTTCCCTAACCTACTGAATCTCCTGACACTGTAACCTGTTACATTCTGTAAAAGTTAAAGCAAACTGAAAAATGAATGATCCCCAGACTGTGTGGAACCCAAAAACAATTCTAATTGAAAGTCATAAATATTCAGCACGTTGCCCTGCTTTCACCCTTCCTGCCACTTTGCTGTTGTTTTGCTTGTTGTTAGCTGCTCACTGCCACAGCATTAACTCTTTCATCAGTGATGTTGGCATCCACATTGTCTTACATAATGACATGGCAACCCACTCGAACTGCCATCACCCCAGTTACAATTATCAGATATTTTACATCACACTACTCTTAGATGTCACCCACAGGGAAAGGGGAGGAATGGGTGCCCTCAGATTAGAGCTCTGCCAAAGAGTGGAGCTCAACACCAGCTCCTCCAAAGAGTAGCTTTCCAGGACCTTTCTCAGCACTCAGCGCATGAATAACTGTAATAATAGATTGAGGGGTTTTTTCTTTTCTTTTCCTAGCTGCTGTAAAAAGATCTTCAGTGGCCTGTGGCAGCTTTTAATTAATGAGCCTGACCATTTCTACTCACCTTCACAGTTATTATTTTAGCTGTCAGTTTGCTTGTAACTGGCTGGCAAGCCAGACCTTTGGGCCAAAACGAGCAATTGCATTTTAATGGAACAAAGCAGCACTTTTGATCCAGTGAAATGGAGTGCGGTAGATCGGTAGGTGGGTGGGTGGTTGTAGGTATGGTTGGGCACCCGGCCACAGAAAACGAGCAGGGAGCATATACGAATCTGCCTTTGCCCATCCAGTAGTTCCATGTAGTTAACTCTAATGGCTCCTAGCCAGAGTCCTACATTACCTAACTTGACTAATGATCTTGAGATATGGAAATGTGACAAATGCTGTGGTCACAAAAGCAAACACTGTATTCGCAACAATAAGGCTGTGTTCTGTACTCTGACTTTACTGCGTTTGATGTAAGACAAGCAAGCACTGAGACACTAAACTAAGGTCACGTCCCATGTTTCTGGGAATTCAACACAAGAGTCGGTATACCTCCACTGGAGTTTATATTTTTCTACATTTACAAGGTTTCTGGTACTAAATCTTAAAGCACTTTTTCCATACATGGATTAAACCCAGCCCAGGCCCAGAAAAGAAAAATTCAATGAAGACTTTTATTGAAAAAAAGTTTATGCTTATGTGGGCTCAGTCTATGTTTCGGGAGCTGAGCCTTACTGACTAAACAATCTATTTTATCCAACATTTATACAATGACATAAAAAGGGTTTTACAGTTTATTTAAAAAAGGTAAAAGCCAGGAAGACTTGATGTTTATTAAATTAGACTTTTGATAAATAAGATATTTACTCTTTAGAAAAGTATTTTTCAGACAAACATCCAGCTGTAATTGGAAAAAAGACCAGCCATCACAGGTTAATTATAAATCATAGCTACTGAAAACTATGTTACTCCCTGACTAAACTGCAGTCAGTTATGTTTAGATAATATTCTTTTAATTTGACATGCTTCATTGCATGTCTTTATTGCATTTTAAATTTCATTCATCTAAATCTATTCTTTTTGTAATTAAACCTAGCCCCCTTTAATCGTACACTTGTCTTTTTGCTTCAGTATACTGAACTAAACTTGGAGTCAGTAAAAGGTTTGGTTTAAAAACACAGGTGTGTTTGGGCGGAGTCACGGTGCAGACCTCAGTATCACTGAACTCACTGCCCACAGTTCTGACTGAAGGCACATTATATTACCCGTGTTTATCACTGTACATTCCTCCAGTGATCACACGCCTCCACCTAAGGATAACATTGCTTTTGTAGCAACCACCTATTCTTTATATAATGAGTCAGCGTGTAATGTGTTTATCAGTTAGATCTGATATTACACTGTGGACCTAAAACTGCAAACAAGATATTTCATAACATACATTAATCCTGCCATTAGCAGTTAGGATCAGGATTTGGTGTTGAGCCGTGCATGTACTTGTTGCTATAGTAGGCTAATAATGCTGAATAGCAACAAATAATCACTAATAATCACTGTTTGTTTGTTTCTTTGTTTGTAGTAAACATCTAGTTCTTTCAAGGGTTAATGTATTTTTATGTATTTTTCGTTTCTTTTCTTGGGGGTTAAATAGCAGATAATAATCAGTTATTTATGTTAGTTTATTATTTAAAATTTATATTCACATTCCGATCATGAAAAAAATATTTATACAATTAACTTGGCTCTTAGTTAAATAATGGTAATATCCTATTACCATGTTCTGAAAGTCAGTTGCAATTGATACTTTAATTTAATCTGATTCTCAACTCAGCCAGTAAATAAAAGCCTCATCTCCTCTTCTTGCAGGTGATGACCGACTTTCCTGTTGTTTTGAAGGGTGGTTCTCACTCCTTCACCGTGCCTGAGCCACGTTCCAAAAACTCCAACAAACTGAAAAACCTGAGCTGATGTCATTTTTAAAAAATATATTATTAAATAGGGGAGACAGTTTCTTAATCAGGGAAGAGCCCCACATCCACATTAAGGAGACGGGCTGTGCACATTGGAAGAAAAAGTCTTGGACATAGTCTTTTTTTTTTTTTTTTTTTTTTGTGCACTGTTTTCATGACAGATGTCAATTATTTTTTTCAATAAAGTGTATTTGAATGTAGTCATTGCCTGATTATCTTCATGGATGACTGCTTATGTCTGATGCTCTCCTTTTTTTGAGTTCACCTTCTGTTCTGTATGTCTATTTTTTTTTTTCTCTCATCATTGTTGGACGCTGCCTGGTGTTTTTCTTTGTTGCTGTCTTCCTGGATGCAGTAGGCTTTGTCCTCTTCTTCTTTGGTATTTTCACTCCCCTCGACTTCTGGGATTTCTTTGTCTTCTCTGGGCCACTCCTCATGTGCTAGAGGAGTGGCACACAGCACCTCAGCCTGGTGTTGTGGATCTTCTGGTATCTTGGAAACCTAGAGGTACCAGTGGAAGACCTATTACATCACTGAGATTCTCCATTTGTGTCATAATTAGAAGCACAAAGCAGATTTCTGGATGGTGATGTTGGACCATGGAATCGGCGCTGAAGCTTCAGGTGCAGATCTTCACATTTAAAGCATTATGTAGTCGAGAATAATTTTCCTTTAATAAACATCTCTATATTCTGTAGGGTGAAAATTCTGAGCTTCATCACAATCTGATAGGTGGATATTTGATTCACCAACAAAAGAGATGGAACCTTGACCTGAAATGCTCCCTGTATGCTGAGCACCTTAAACTCAGCAGCTGCACATCAGCATGTAAGACATTCCCAAAGTAACATTAGCAAGAGAGAAGAGACTAAAAGAAAAGTGCAAATCACAATGCTGTATGCTTTATTGTTGTGGTTGGTTAATACTTCCTTGTGTTGCTTGTTTTACTTTACCTAACTTTGTTCTCATTTTGTTTCTTGTCATTTTGCATGTTTGTTTGTTTTTTAGGGGTTTTTTACGCTGTTTGGTTTCTTACATTAAGACAGTGACATGGTAACTTCTTATCACCTTCTGATCAGGGACATGTCCAGAGGGGGATCACTTCGGTCCCCCACCCTCAATCCAGCCCCAATACCAGCAGGCTTAAACTACTACCGACGAACAACTAGCAGCCAGTGTCAGAATGTACTTTACTGAAATATAGTTATAATGTACTTCAGCTTTATTTTTGTGTTGTGGCGATTTCTACTTTAACTAATTTTTTTAAATCCGTTAGTGCTCTATATCATTAACTTTAAAGGCTTAGATTATCATTTTGCAGATTTTAAAATATAAATCCATTAATTGATGATAATGTGTTATTACAGATCAAACTCTCCAAAAGAATCAAAGTAAATCAAATCCAGCTTAAAGTTTGATAAGTGTTACTCAATCAGTAATTATGATCCAGTAATCTAATATATACGATTCTGCATAAATAGTATTTTTAAATATTTTTGATGATAAAACTTTTGTACTATTACTAATTAGGGACAATGGATTTGTTTCCAACAGTTATTCAATACATACTATGTTCAAACTCTTCATCAGTGCCACTTTTTGTGTAGTACATCTAAATGTGGGCACAGAGATGCACATGAGCCTGAAATTTATGCCCAGTGTTTTTGACACTATATTCATCTCTGATTAAATATTCAGATTTCTTGTGGGCCCTTGAATGCCATGTTTTTAGACCCCTGGAAAAATCCTGCAAGTAAGTGTTTGGGTGCACTGTGGTTGTGCTTATTCTAGCTCTTGTCTGATTCTCCAGTGTAACATGATTCTGTTTTGATTGTTTTGTTTCTGTTTTAAATAGTGTTTCATTTATTTCATCAAATTTTTGGGATGTTAAATGTGTTTCCTCACTCTGACCTGGAAATCAGGAGACTGTCCTCTATTTGCACATTTCTACTTCATTTACATCCTGATGAGATTATTCATGTTGTTCCTTTGTCCCCACTGATTTCCTTCTTTTGGCTTTTGCTCGTGATTAGTCTCTGTGGTGATTTTCTTGTTGTGAAATCTAAGAATTGGTCACACAACCCATTTAACAGAAACCAGCCAAACTGGGTCTATTAGTTACTGGGGCAAGTGTGCTCTCATTTTACAAGAATTTGTTTGTGTGAGGAGAAAAGACAGGAAACATTTTTCAGTAGTCCCACACATCTGCATCCTTACACATATTGTGGAGTCAAACTTTTGAACAGAGGTTGTTTAGAAATATGTATTCTGACGTAATCTTTACCAGGAATGAGGTACAACTTGTTTCTCTGTCATACACCTTATTAACAGTCTAAGCTTATCACCACAATAATCCCCAGGCTTACAATACTGACAACAAGAATAGCGCTGCAACACTAAACTGTTATCAAGTACATGTGATGAAATGACATGTTGAACAAAATAATGGATTTCGAAATGAAGCTACAGTGCCTCGTTAATCTTTGCACAATCCCTGTTTCCAACTCATAATCTCTTTTGAGTACAGCTGTTGTTTTTCAAGGAGCAATCCCACACAGTCATTTAGTCTCTCACAAGGGAAGTCTTTGGGAATGTGTCAGCATTTCATTACTAATTCATAACTTTAGCCTCGTTGCTCAGACAGGTCCAGGAAAATTACTGTAGAGATGGTTGACATGTGATTCTAAGGTGTTGCAATCTCACTTTGTGTCTGTCTTCTTGTGTCTCTGGGGCTTCAGGTTCCACCTCACACCTAACATGCTTCTCAGTTACCTGTTGTCTGCCTGCTGAACAATGCCCGGCCAGCACCCACATGCAAACACACCTAAGTTTGGCCTGGGTCAACTGACACTGTTTGCCTCAGTGCAGTGGTGACAAAGGCTAAAGTGATTACGTTCTAATGTAGTGTTGTGTTGCAGTCAGGCATGCCAACAATTCATACTGTTCTCATTTGATGTCAAGCAGTCTTGCAGTCCAAAGTCCAATAATGGCGTTTAATGGTACTTTTTTAATGGTACTGTCCTCCAAATTTAAACTAAAACTTGCATTATCAGGGCCAGTGTTTCCCTCGTTAGTGAGCTGAGACATTTTCAAATTTGTGCTTTGACTTTTCATATTTCTTTTTATCCTTACGACCATTTCCTCAGGAGGTTTTGCTATTTCCAAGTCACCAAGGTAAATAAAGATGTGTTCTAATGTTAACCAGGCATGGTTAACCTACTTTACATTGGTGTTGCACACATACACGGCCCAGCCATAGTTCAACTGATAACACTGGCTCGATTGGACACAATACTGTACAATCATTGTTTCTTTATATCCTGCTGACAGGTCTAGTTATTTATGGGCGGTGTTAAGCTATATTTAAATACAATGAACTTCCTTTAAGTTCATTGAAATATAATAGTATTCTACTTGCTTACATTTTGTCCTACATTTCACTTCATTAACAAAACTTAACTGAATGTGAACAGGTGTATTGTAGCAGATTGACCTTTGGAAAAACTTTAGGAATATGACAGGAAAATACAACATCAACAAACAAAATGTTAAGGAAGTTGGAAATAAATCTGTGGTGGGGCGTGGTCTGCGGTGCCGTGCGGACGCACCTGCACGGCATCCGCAATCACGCCTGCCGTGTTAAAACACGGGGACTCAGGGGTTGGTGGTGGTGTGGTGTGACGTGACTACAATAAAGTTGGCTCTGAACGTCGCTCCGTGGTCCCGCCGTGCCTTATTCATGCCACAAAATCATTTAAAGCTACTGTGTCTGAAATATGTTGGTATTCCATAGCTTTATCTTATGTTTCTTATATTTTAAAAATAGACATCATATATTTACTGATTTTTAAATCTAGATTTTGTTTTCATGTGGATGTGGACTGTGAACATGGTTATAATATATATTCTAACTGTATCTTCTCTAACTAATTAGCTTTTTTGACAAGAAATAGCTGTTTTTAATCATACGAGAACAGCAACAATGTAGCAGCTCATCTAGCTCATGATGCATCACCAAACATCAAAATCTGAAAAAATTCTAGCAGTAATAATGATTCTAGTGAAAATGGAAAAGTAATTGTAAAACAAATTCGAATTCTTAGATAAATATAAATTACTCTCTGACAGTCAATATGGATTCAGATCAAAAAGATCAACATCTCTGGCATTAATCGAATCAATTGAGGAGATTACGAATGCTATAGATCAGAAACAGTATGCAGCTGGAGTATTTCTGGATCTCAAGAAAGCATTCGACACAATCAATCATGACATATTAATTAATAAACTGGAACGGTATGGGATTAGGGGGGTTGTACTGCAATGGGTGAAAAATTATTTAAGTGACAGGAAATAATTTGTGAAGCTGGGTGTCCATTCCTCATCATGCTTGGACATTGCTTGTGGGTCCAAAATTATTTATTATTTATATAAATGATATTTGTAAGGCATCTGATATATTAAAATTAGTATTATTTGCAGATGACACAAATATTTTTTGTTCTGGGGGGAATATAAAGGAGCTGCTGGATACAATTACTTCAGAAATGTGCAAAATTAAAAAATGGTTTAACAGGAACAAACTATCGCTAAATCTAAGTAAAACTAAAATTATCTTATTTGGGAATTCCCTTAGAAATGCACAAGTGCAGATTCATGTAGATGGTGTGGAAATTGAAAGAGTACTTGAACATAAGTTTCTTGGTGTGATTATAGATGATAAATTAAACTGGAAGTCTCATATAAATCATATACATAACAAAATTTCAAGAAGTGTCTCAATCTTGAGTAAAGTAAAACACATTCTGGATCACAAAGCACTCCACATTCTCTATTGTTCCCTGATTGCACCGTATTTGAATTACTGTGCAGAGGTTTGGGGCAATACTTACAAATGTTCGCTATCATCAATCTTTATATTACAAAAAAGGGCAATAAGGATAATCCATAAAACTGGTTACAGAGATCATACAAATCCACTATTCTTAAAATCAAAAATTCTAAAATTCACAGATCTGGTTCATTTTCTCACAGCACAAATTATATATAAAGCAATAAATAACCTGCTTCCTGACAATATTCTAAATATGTTTTCTAAAAGGGAACGGGGATACAATTTGAGGGGGGAATTAAATTTAAAACATCCTCATATCTGTACAACATTAAAAGGTTTTTGCATCTCTGTGTGTGGAGTGAAGCTGTGGAACAGATATGAACAAAACTATGCAGCAGAAAAATCAAGTTTCACGGGATTGTTTTACTTTGTCGATGTGCAGGGCAGAGGAGAAATCGATACGTGACGTAAAGATATGAAGCAATGTCCAAGCATGGCGCAGTTTAAAAAGCGGTTTAAGGATATGGTTTTTACAGGGTACAGGGAAAAGGTAGAGATTTGATAGGCTGTTCTTGTCTAATACTTTCATGTGTGTGCGGGTGCACGGGTATGTTGGTATGGGTATATATATATATTTGCAGGTTGTGTATCCTTGAGGTGTTAATGGGGTTATTGAAAATGTGTATATGTGCGTATGTGTATATCCGTATGTATGGATAGATAGAAACATATATGTATATATATTTTTAAAAAAAAATTCACATGACATATAATGTAATTGCAAGGAGGTATTTCTGTAGTCTATTGATACTAGATAGTGGAAAAGGAGTGGGATTAAATAAGCTTCTTCCTGCTCCTTTTTGAACATGAAAGTTATTTGGAGTTGTGGTTGCTCGTTTTCCTTTTGTTTTGCTTTGTTCATTTGTCTCTTTTAATTCTATTTTGTTGTACTTTTTCAACATGTTCAAAATAAAGATTCAATCAATCAATCAAACAATCAATATGACCTTGACCTGAAGCAAAATTTGGTTGACCCCTTAGGTAATCATTGTGTGCAAGTTTTACTAAAATCTGACCAATATTATTGGAGGAAGAGTGAACTGTCAACTGTAGATTGACAGCTGGATCGTCAGAACCCTCAACACTGTATAAGCTTAGCTGGATAAACTAAAAATGACCAACAAATTCATGTTTTTTAAGTTTGAAATGGTAAAGCAAAATTTACATAATTTATATTTGATAAACACCCATTAGGGACAATTGACTTAAGTGGATTATTTACATTACCTGTATAGTAAACTGTTTGTGTATGTAGGGGCGATCGTGGCTCAACAGTTGGGAGTTCGCCTTGTAGTCGGAAGGTTGCCGGTTCGAGCCCCGGCTCAGACAGTCTCGGTCG